GTTAACTTTACTTAACTGGCAAAATAACATTTCATAGTCTTCATAGTACTTGAATTGGAGGAGTTAAAGAATGTTATAATTTTTGCTTTGTACAGCCCCTCCTGAACAGCCTGTAATAGATGGGGGTCCTGTCATTCCTCTGGAGCTTGGGGTACCCACCAACATCACCTGTAGGGCAAATGGAGGAAAACCTGCCCCTCAGGTGCTATGGTGAGTTCTGATACTCAGTATTAAAGCATAATTCAAGTGAATTCAATTTTAGTTTATCTATTTACAAAACTACATGGTCCTCCATGGGAAGGAAGATGTATCTGTTCAAGAGACTTTGGAAAGCCTGCTTTTGAGGCCATTATATTTGTTAAGTTTATACTGACCTATTTTAGGTACAAAGAAGGTTCAGGAAGGATCACTAATAATACCTACACTATTGGTACACCTAACAAGGTGACGAAGGTCACTGATGTCATCGGTATTGTGACCCTAAAGGCAACTAATGAGGATCACGAGAAGAAAATTGAGTGTCATGCCAAAAATGAGGCTTTGCGGCAGCCCCTCATCTCGTCTGTGACATTGAATGTGCAATGTAAGACCAAGTCATAAAAATAATGTATCTATAGTGATTTCCAGTATTCCAAAAATGTTTTCTTCCACTTTGGAGACTTTTTTTGTCACATATTCTTCATCATGTTTCTGAAGAATATAAAGAGTTTTCTTGTATTTGCAGATAAACCAAAAATTAACATCAGCCATAATGTAACCCGTCCTCTTAAAGAGAACGACTACGTTCGATTCTCATGTGATGGTGATGCCAACCCAAGAGAGGTCCAGTGGAGGTACTGAAGAACTCTTTTTCCAAATTCTAATCCTCATTGAAAGAAGAGACTGGCCAGGCAAATTGAAATGTTTATACAAATATTGATGACACCCCTTTTTTATTTCAAACTTATGTCCCGACATTCTCTTATTGAGTGAACCCTTTGTTGTTAAAATTCAGACAAGGACACCAATTTCTGTTAGGAAAATTTGCCCATTATTTTGCTGGCAGTGCCTCTAATATAATTTCAGAAAAAATATGATAATGCTAAAATTTCAGTATCATTTCGTTGATTGCATGGTAGTTAATTTATGAAGCAGTAAATTTTTCACTGATACGTGTACTGTAAACTCAGTTATAAGGAAGTCACATGGACCCTTAATTTGCTTCCTTAATAACCAGGAGGCCGTTTTACAGAAGAACAAAGACCGAAAACTTTAGTTGATTGTAAAATTTTTCAAAATTAATTATTCTGTTTGAAATTGCTAGCATGAAAATATCTTCCTGAGTTCTTTTTAAAAATAATAAAATCATTTTCAAATTAATGTAAAATAAAAAATTATAAGCAGAAGCAAATTTTGGTCTTAGTCCTAAGTTCTTTTGTAAAATGGGCCCCAGGATTCCTTATATCTGTATAAAGAACAGAGTGGAATGTCTTCCACAGGATTCATAAGAAAGTCCCTTATAACAGAGAGTTCCTTATAAGTGAGTTCTTTATAACCAAGTTTTACTGTAGTAGTTACTTTAAAATACCTCAAAGTCGAAAGTCGCAATGTTTAACTGTATGTGTAACTGTAGGTGGATGAGAGATGGTCGACTGATCAGAGGACAGACCAGGCGTAACCTAGATATACCACATATATCCAGCGAGTACCATCAAAGCACCATCTCATGTGAGGCCACCAACTCCATTGGCAGTAGTACAGCAAAGATGAAGCTGGATATACTTTGTAAGTCTGCCACTTCCACTCAGGTCAAAGGTTAATGCTCCTCTTTCATGCTGCAGATTAAATCAGTCACAATATTCATACCCCAGGAATCCTCAGACAGTTTTATTTGCCTATTTATGAAGGTTATGTATGTAATACAACACTCTATACTTTTTACCTGACTGTTGATTTGCTACTGCAGTTAATTGAAATCTTGCCATCTCATTTTCTGAGAACAAAATTTGTTTCCTCAGTCTCTGCCAGAAATGATAAGTGACTCACATCAGATGGTCATCTAAGACAAGTTTCTTGAAAACTTATAAACCAGGGTAATTCTGATGGTATCGACTGCAACTGAACTGGGAACAAAACCATCATTCAAGCATGCTCTATTTGCATCAATAACTGATCATCTCAAATATTTTATGAATCCTATATCAGAGATTTTCTATTTTGATCTGTCAGAAGATTGTTCCAGTGTTCAGGTGCAGCGTAATAACAGATTTGTTCCTCCACACAATGACCAAGAACCCTCATGATTGACTTCACACAATTATTCTGTCAGGGCCTACCGCTGTTGATGTTGTCGTTTATGTACACCAGGCAATTACAGGGCCCTAAAATTGGACCTTACTTCCTCTCTTTAGTTCTTTTTGTTGTTACTGAAATGATGCATACAAAATACTAATTAAAACTGATAAGAGATAAGGATTGGTGCATAGCCACCAACCAGTTGACAGGACCATAAAAGCCTGGAAATGTTGCATTTGGATAGTAATGATTGTTAACATTTTATGGCACTTGCAATAAATTTTAAAGACTTCAAGCAAACAACTGGATCTTTAATGCCAAGAACCTGTTCTGTAATTCATTTTTTCACTCCCTAATAATGAAAGTAACATGCAGTTAAGTCAGCATTGTAAAAGAACTATAAAACAGTGCATTAATGCAAGATCCTTTTCTTTTTCTGAAATTATTACATGTGTTCTCTCTCTCCTCAGATGAACCAAAATTTATTGGGGTCAACCAGTACATTCCTGTAGATCTTAAAAAGTCAGTGACCTTGACCTGTAATGCCACTGGTAACCCCCAGCCTGAGATCCGATGGCGAAGGTCAGACAGCCAAATCCCCCTTAGTGAAACCACGACTTTAACTGTATCTAACATCGGGAAGGAAGACCTTGGCATGTATATCTGTGAGGCCAGCGCCCTCTATGGAGCTTTCAGTACCAAGAAAATAGATGTTTATCTTCTGCTCAAAGGTAGTCTTTTTCTTAATGGTAGATATTGATTGATTTCCCCCCTGCTCACCAGGAGACTAAATATTTGCTTTTTAACCCTGTAAAATGAAATACACAGAAACAGCCTATGCCATCTCAGGTGAACAATAAGTCAATTAAGCTTGAACATTAAAAAAAACAAACAAACAAACAAACATCATTTGCAACAATTTTAGACAGTTTTATGTTGGAAGTGTTCATAACAACCGGTAAATATAATGGGAAAGAATGCTACTAATACGTTAATTAGATTATAAAAGCACAAAATCAGATAACAAAAAGAGGCATTTTATAGAGTTATTTTTCAATACCATAATTATTTAATTGATTCAATTCGGAAAATGTCAGAGGTGTTTTATAAGAGAGCTTATTATTTCAAAAGTTAATTGAATTAAATTTTTCATGTTACTTAATCAATAAAATGCTTTCTTTCTTTGTTAATGCAGAAATAATGGTTGCATCATTGCAGAAAAAAATACATAACCCATTTACAAGGATTGATAAGTAGATTTGTTTCTGCAATGGTTGCAACTGTTAATCGCAGTAACAAAGAAAAAAAAAACATTTTATTATTTATATTTATTCCTGTATCTGTTAAAATTATTTGTATAAATTGTGTTACTGTACGTTAACTACTAGGTGTGTAATGTTGGTCCATACATTGATGGAAGAGCCCACTTCTTAAGAAATCATTTAATCAAACAGATGGCTTTAAAAACTGGTTCAAACCAGTTTGGTCATTAATGAATCGATAACATTGTTTTCATTTAAAAAATTAAGGAGAAAATTTTCAGTGGATGTTAATATATGAAAATATTGCAGGTCCACCTGAAATCAAGAGTAAATCCACACAGTATGCGGAACCAGACCTGGATGGAAAAGTGTCCTGTTTGGTCCGCTCAGTCCCTTACCCAGACCAGATCCTGTGGATCAGGGGGGATAAAATAATTGACTACGCTCAATCTGGGAGGTACTCTGTCACTCAGACACAGATGGCAGATGGGGTGGAAAATATCCTCCACATTACTCACCTGACCCCCAGCGACTTTGGGGACTACATATGTACTGCTTTTAATGGTTATGGAAATGATACTATGAAAATCACATTAGCTGAGACAGGTTGGTTATTCTGATTTTGCATAAATTAAATGCTTGTAGGATGTTCATGTTCAAAAAATAAACTTATTTCTTGTTTTTCTATAATCTTTATGTGCTCTTACTTGCTATTCATTGATTGTCCTATAAATATGTACAATTGTATTTAATTTTGGGAGAAAAAAACTATAGGAGTAGTATTGTCCATTTACTCTAGTTTGTTTAAAAATACATGCAGAATTATAAGTTATTAAGCTATGAAGATTTAACACATTTTAGAAAATACATTTGATGGCAAAAAAAGGGGGGTAGTGCAGGAATTGATAGCTGCATTTACAAATAGAACACAAGAATTGTTAAATGGTAGGGATTTCCAGCTCTCAATTAAAATAAATGATTCTTTTTTTTTCAGAGAGTTTACATTTGAGTTACATCATAGGAGCTGTTTGTGGTGGTGTGGCCGTTCTGCTATTTATCGCCGGGGTCTGCATTCTGTATCACAGATGCAAATCTTCCGACAATGGTATAAACACATCTCTTATTGCAGCAGAAATGGAAGACTTCTTTAATCTTACTGTAATTTACGAGAAATTTGTTATTGTAAATTTTGGCTGAAAACAAAGGTGTCATTATGGAAGGTGTTAAAATGAAAGATAAACATGTATACATCAAACTCATCCAAGAAACATAATCCATTTGTGCAGAGTTGTTAACTTTCTGTCAAATGATCTGTACTTGTTGTAAAGATCAATGTTATTTAATTGATAATGTTTCTATATATAAATCTCAAGATAACCAAATTTCAACTCTTCCAGAATCTTATGCAGAGACAGACAGCCACACAGAATTTAAAAAACGAGAAAAATCTGATTCCCCCTCAGATTTCACAAAATCCACATTGATGGATGAATGGCGGCAAAATCTGAATTATCATTGTCCAACAGATTATGATGATATCAACAACATAAATAATGTTTATAATGTAAGTAAATTTTGTTTTAAACCAAGATTGAAAATAGGACAAAGAAAGATAACTCTTACTAAAAAATTAAAGAGTACCATTGTATGTTGTGTGCTCGAATATAATTTTTTTTTTATGCACTTGCAGGATCCTAGAATAAATTCCAGTGGATATGGAACATTAAAATCAGACCAGATAATTAATGGCTATGAAAATCACAATGGCCATCTGTTTAGTGACTACACCCATAGGAGTGATGAATCTTTTCCTGTCGAGAAGTGAGTGCAGGTTTTTACTTGAGTTTTTGAAAAAATGATGCCTGCAAATTTTTCATTTTTTATTTTAAAATAAACCTTAAGTTCTATTTATCTGTTGTACTGAATGCAATATTTAATGTCACTAATAAGAATATATGTTTTTCCTCTTCAGTGTGAATGGTTACAATTCAAATAACTACGGGACCAGCACATTCAGAAGTGGATCTCGGACGGACTTTATGAAACCGGACTACAGTAGTGATCCATACAGACTACCACCTGCTAATCTGTCTACCACACAACTAGCCACAAATGTCTGAGATAGACAAACAAAATATCAAGTGACATTTACAGGCTGTGCACCATGCACGCAATGGAATCACAATTCATCTACCATATTTAAATTGGGCCACCAGGCTGAAGACAAACAATGCAATTCCTTCATCTGCTTTTCCATTTATACCAAGGAGAAAAGATAGACTTCTGTTTTATATTTGTGAAATGAATGAGTGTACAGGTATACCTGTTTGAAATTTTTTTTTCACATTTTCAACGTATGGTGTTGTTAGTCGTTGAAATATTCTCCAAATAAGCAGACTGAATTCCATGCAAATGGTTGCTTATGGATGAAGAAGACGAAGGACTTGGTTAATAGTGCAATTTTGATGTGTGTTGAGAATACTCAAGATGCTATGATTTTGTGATGCTATGACTGACAATGCAGTGCATTTAAAATGCAGTCGCTGACAACATCACACAAACTCTAGGGCAGACAGAGAGCTGACTGGTTCAGGTCATGAGAAGTTTGATGATTCTGGTTGTGTGTCAAATGATTTTATTTCCCCCCGGAAGTAATGTAGTGCTGATTTGTATGTTTATCTGTTTAACTGAATTTTTTTTTATTTGTCTTACTGGTCCTGTACAATTCGAAGACGTCAGACAGCACAAAAAATTTGCTTAGCAATTTCTTCATTATTGAAGTACATATGTAATCATTTGATACATTTCAACAGATTTGGGAGGAGAATTCTGGTTTCTGTGGCCCATTGTATTTTGATCTCTTAATCTACCAAGTACCAGCACAGTAAGAAATGCTGTAAAACTACACACAATAAATTATAGTTGTAGACCTTGTTAAACATTCCAGATATTTCTACAGTGCTGTAGTATCCTTTTGTAGCTTGCACATATTTATATTTTTCATCACCCCCACCTTCATTTCGTCATCTGGAAACAATATGGAAGTTATTCTCCGAGTTATAATATTGTACATTCTCTGAACATTTTATCTGCTTTCATCAGACACTGCGGAAATCATAGACTTATATACAGGAGTTGTCTGTGTTCCTGTATACTTGGCTTTTCACTGCTAGGACTCGATCTATGCAGATATTACCACTATAGGACACAAAAACTTCCGGTGATTGTGAATGTGTTGAGAGAAAATTGGAAAAATAACTCAAAATTCTAGTCAATTATTTCAGCAATGGCAAATATGAATTCTTACATTGAGTGTAGGTTTATGTTACTAATATAAAAGTCATATGTATACCTGCAGATATTATGTGTGGCTATTTAATCTTACATTTGTTACAGTCCAAAGCAGTGTGCAATTTCATTGTTATTTACTTCTTTCTCTATATGGTATTACTAACAGGTGTTCATCTATACGATTTTAGTCCCAGTTTGTTTTAATCTTATTTGTTTCAGTATGTTTTATTGTCTGGAGAGAAAGAAAAAAGAGAGAGAGATTAATTAGAGAGCTAAAGTCTAATGTATAATTTTATGTCACTGTGAAGACATTTTTTTTTTAAACAGAAGAGGTCACAAATTTTCTGTCTACTATTTCATGTGTGAGAGGTATTGTATATTTCCTTGCTGATAAGCTGTTTTAGAATGATTTATTTAAATGAGTGATATTTACACATGTCTAGTATGTCTTTTGAATCATGAAATCAAATGAGAGTGTACAAGATTGGAATAAATTCTAATCTAAAAGAATAAAAGCATATTTGTGATTTTGTATGTCTTTGGAACCAAAGAAATCTAGTGTGTATGGTAGAAACTAATATAACTAAAAAGATAATAATCTCTTGTAGATGACTGCATAAGCATTAAAATAAATGTCTTGATCGGGAGAAATATTGGTCAAGTTACTTCCAAAAACACACTTTATGCCAGCTATATTTGACCTTCAGTAGGGGAAAGTATTTGGAATGAAGCACTAGTCCTTTTGTATTTAGCAGTTTACTGATATTGATACAATTTAATAGTGCCCTGATGGTCTGATATAGCTGGCTGGGCTATAAAAATTGAGACAGATGACCAGAGATATTTTTTTCCCAAGAACAGTGAGCTGCAGATCGGCAGCTGATAGATCTGTAGTATGTAGTGACGTAATGCCTAAAGATTCTGAATGAATTTCATTCTGTCTTTATGGCAAATATGTATACCGGTAGTATAAGGTAACACAAGTCTTGCAAACACTGGTTTTGGTGTGAATAATTCCTTCCTATGAAGAGCTTGGAGCCTTTCTTCAGCTGAATAAAATCTCTAGGTCGACTCTCTAAAGACAGCAGAGTATGATTAAGACAAAAAAATTTCCAGTTCTATATATATACATGTATCTAAAATTTAGTAGCTTGCAAAAAGTCATGTATTTTTATTACACTATAAGATATTGTGAATAATCTTTTATAAAAAAAAAAATATATCTTTATAAAGAAATGAAAACACTGCAGTTTTCAAAAATCTTCTTTATTCTTAGACATCAAGCAGTTAAACTATTGGCATAATTTTTAAGTAAATGAACTGGTTATAAAGTGCAAGGGTGCCTCTTTGAAAATTGTGAAATTTATGGCCCCTTTTCCAAGTTTTTGAAATTCATGGTCCTTCGGTCAAGGGTTCTGGTGTTAGAGTGGGGCTCTAATGATTATGTAGTGAAAAAGCATATTTTGTTTTAAAACCATCTTCTTCTTTGCCCCTGGGTATTTATCAGACAAACTTAGTGAATGGTTATGATGAGCAAGGATGCCTCTAGTCTTCCAAGTTTTTGAAATTCATGTTACCTTGGTCAGGGGTTCTGGTGTTAGAGTGGGGCTCGAATGATTATATAAATCATCATTATATAGTGAAAATGCATATTTTGTTTTAAAATAATCTTCTTTGTCCCTGGGTATTTAACAGACACACTTGGTGAATGGTTATGATGAGCAAGGATGCCTTTTCCAAGCTTTTGAAATTCTTGGCCCCTGGGTCAAGGGTTCTGGTGTTAATTAAGAGTGGGGCTCTAATGATTATATAGTGAAAATGCGGTATTTCTTTGAAAATCCTCTTCTCTTCTGCTCAGTGTTTAGCAAACATACTCATCTATCAATTTATTTTGTTTTATTTCATACATCTGGGGATCCTTTACAGTATTGTATTTTACTCAGGTAACCGTTAAGGCCCTTGGGCCTGTTGTTTGTGACAGTTTTTGTGTAGAAAAGAACTAACGTAATGGTAAGGTTTCCGTCTGTCTTTCTGTAAACAATTTTTCAAAATGCTACTCCGCCTACAATTTTGATCTGATTTTAATAGGACTTGGTTTAGAAGTAGTCTACACTAATATACTTATATTTCTGCTTGTTGGTCTTTGAAATTCTTTCAAAAACACTATTCCTCCTACACTTTTGCTTTGAATTCAATAAAATCAAGCTAAGAAAACATCAAGATACACAATTCTGTTTATATGAACCCCCCCCCCCCAAAAAAAAAAAGTCGGGTTTTAATTTTTTAAAACATTTTCCTAAGTACAAACGAGTAGACTAAGAGCTACAGTCTCAATATAGGTCACCATGACCTCATTTGGGAATATTAATCAGCCTTTGTCAAGATCATAGTTTGCACTCTGTGGGGCCTAGGACCATCAAATCCTGAAAGTTTACTTCAAGAAGCCGGAAACAAGATTAACGGAACATAGAGGTAAATCATTTTGCGTCTGTAAGTAAAATGCAATATGCTTACATACAAGCACTAGTATACCTTTTCAGTTCTACTTGTGAATTATTATCGTTCTCATTTCCCTACATGTAAGTATTGCCACCCCATTTTATTCGATAGTATCGAGAAAAAAACCCCTTCAGAATCAGAATGGTTGCCAGAGGAAATTCTATTTAGATAACTTCTATCCAGACAAACCATCCCTTGAAATCCCTCCATGTACCTATGTATCCATGTACATAGTTCCCAGCTTCTTGAGATAAATTGACGGGGTTTGATGGTCCTAGCCCTCACAGAGTGCAAAATATGATTCTAAGATGAGCTGAATAATACTTATTCCAAAATGAGGTCATGGCGACCACTTGTGGGTTGCGACACACCTTCCTCCCGTTCGATTTAGATGTCTTCTATTCGGAAAAAAAACCCAGGTACCGTGCCTAAACCTTGTTCCCTACTTCTTAAGATAACCTGACAGAGTTTGATGGTCCTGTCATGTTCTAAATTATGAATTTACCGGATAGGAGTAAATACAAATAAGATTTAGAACAATTTTGTATTTACTCCCACTCAGTAAATTCAAAATTTAGAACGTGCAGTCTTAGGCCCCACAGAGTGCAAAATATGATCTTGACGTGAGTTGAATAATTGAAAATAAGGCCATGGTGACCTACTTTTAGGTTGCGATACACCTCCCTCCCAAGAGGAACTTCGATTAAGATTACTTCTATACTTCTATCCAGACAAACCAATGCCCATCTCTTGGAAGCCGTTTTTTTTAAATACTAGATAAGAGCTTATCAAGAAAAAAAGTCTTGGGAGACACTTACATGATTGTAATTATAATAAATATGTATCAACAAAATAATAATAATAATAATAAAAATAATTTTGGGGAAAATTCACAAATTTTTGTTGAAAATCCATTCTTTGAGGGGTCAAGCTAATTTCAGACGTGGAATTGATTTTCCTCTGGTTCGGGCCCAGAAGTTATCCTTATGCCTTTAGCCCTTTACCAAACATGATACAAGAGTTATCAAACTTTGCTCAAGGCTTTAGTTCGCCCAAGAACTGCCTTTTCTTTTTTAAACATTAAAGAGAAACTGATCAATTGATTTTAAACAGCACAATTCTTTTTTTTCACAATTAATTTAGGCGTCATTGTTCTTACATAAGAACAACAATTAATTCTGCGACATTCCAAAAACATATCACTTTACTTAATTGAACGATATATGAATATAACCCTAGTTGAATTAAAAATAAAATCAATTTTCTGCGTCTTGAAGTTTTTGACCAAATTGAGTATCAATTAAAGGAAAAGTGCATAATATCGGTCAATGACAATGTTGGGGAATAAATATCGGTCAAAATGATAAAAGAACAAAATGCACTGATGTTTGATATCGGACAAAATGACAATGATATATTGTCAACTCGCATCTCAATTTCAGTGATAAATAATTTATAGGTCATGCTACATGGACTTTAAAATGGCACATAAAAAACGCTTTTTTTGTTCACAGAATGTTGTTAATTAATTTTTCCCTTATGATCTTGATGTAATATACTGTATTTCAAAGTGAAAACATTTATTAAACTATACCTTGTCTAGTCATTATATACTTTGATTAAATAATTTGTATTTTCAAAAAATTATAGATATCTATGGAAAGCCGTAGGGTACCCCCACATTATTATTATTTTTTCCTATATAATTATACCAAAAATAATTATCTCATCCCAAAATAAAAATCTTGTTTTTTTTTTTTTTTTTTTTTTTTTTTTTTTTTTTACAACATTATTATTTTCCTACAACAATTATAATCTTGTCCGTCCATGTGTACTCATTATTTTTTATTTTGCCCCTACATTATAATAATTATTCTCACTTTACAATTATAATCTTTTCAGTTAGTACGGAGAAATTTTTTTATACACCTCCAAATTATAATCTTTTCAGTCGATTCGTACACATAATTTTTATTTTGCACCAAGATTATAATTATTCTTGCTTCAACAATTTATAAGACTTCACCTCCTGTAACAATAATGTACTGACTGAAAATAAATAAAAATGTACACGCTTAAAAATTATAATGTACCAAGTCGACGTTATAATCTTTGCAAAAATAATAATGATGTGCGCCCTTGTTCGCAATTATTTTTATTTTTCAACAGGAAAGATAACTTCTTTTCTAGTGACAGGAACGAAAACTCTGTCCTCCTGTTGAAACAATAATTATGTTGAGACGCGATTATAATTGTGACTGCACACATTATTTGAAGCGTGAAGGAAATATTATCTTGAGCGTGGAGAAATATTATTTGAAGCGTGGAGAAATATTATTTGAAGCATGACGAAAAACAAGCGTCGATGCGAGGGAGATCGTCACGTGAAAAGGCCATGTGCGCTGTTCGATCATGTAAACAAAGTGGAAGACAGAAGGTTGCACAACAGTATTAAATTTTGCTATATATTCTTACCAAAAATGCGCAACTTTGAGTAGGTGGTATTAATTGAAAACAAACTTTTGAGAAGTTTCCTTTTCACATCTTGTAAAACAATTCTTTATAAAGATTTTAGTACCAAAAAATACATAGCCATCCAGCAAGGCACGCAAGTTTGTCTCGCTCGAAGTCGAGCAGGTGCTTGAAAATCAAGTCCAGGACCTAATCACTCCCCACTCAAATACAGTACATAGAAAATTCAGCACGCCCTAAATTTTAATGAATCTAGTCAATATAGGAAGTTTACATATTGTTTTTCATCTCATAAAAAAATTCAGCTCCAGTCTCGTGTTAAAATGCCCGAATCGGGAGGGAAGATTCAGGAATTATTTTGCGTCAGCCATGATTTGACGTGAACCTCAGGTGAAATACTGTTACGACACCTGCAATAAGAGTGAAAATTTTTGCTTGCCAGTATAATGCTATTTTCCCGATCTGTAATGAATATTCAATGTAATAAAGCAAGTTTCATAAAAATCCGTCTCAAGGTAGGAAAAATATTGGCGACACTCGGTGA